TGGCAGTGAATGTAGGAATTCTCAAAGCGGTCTAATTTTAAAATGTATTCCTTAGTAAGTCTGTATTTTTTTGTATCAGTGACTTAATTGTTAGAGGTCTAAGTTACTAAAAAGTCTGAAGTCATATGTAACTTGCATTTTATTTTAGGAACTGGCAAAACTACATTTATCCGAATGCTTGCAGGAAGACTTACACCTGATGAAGGAGGTAGCGCTTAATACCCGAGTTGAAACCTATTTTGAAGATACTGGAAAGGCTCTTGTTTTCATTATAAATTTTATCTTTTTATAGGTGAGGTCCCGGTTCTAAATGTCAGCTACAAACCACAGAAGATCAGCCCTAAATCTACAGTACGTTTAAGCCTTAGTTATTAAGTATTGTGTTTGCTACAAAAAGCATGTTCGTAGTACACAGGTAGAATTTCTTTATGCCCAGAACAAAAAGCTCTATTAATTCTATTTCTTCTTGTTTTCTTATGGTGTGGTGCACAAAACTGAGTGGCAACATTTTTCTTCTACTAGGGGAGTGTCCGTCAGCTACTGCATGAGAAGATCAGAGATGCCTATACACACCCCCAGTTTGTAACTGATGTCATGAAACCTCTTCAAATAGAAAACATCATTGACCAGGAGGTATCAATTGCCTGAGACAATATCCTAACTTTTCTTCCTTAATTCTCTGCCCGTACCTGAACTAAATACGGCCTTATTCCCCCCGCCCCAATAGGTTCAAACGTTGTCTGGTGGCGAGTTGCAGCGCGTTGCATTAGCTCTTTGTCTTGGTAAACCTGCAGATGTCTACCTAATTGACGAACCTTCAGCATATTTGGACTCTGAACAACGTCTAATGGCTGCAAGAGTCATTTTACGGTAAAGTATACACAATGGGAAGAAGAACTGAAATTTTCAGTAGTTTTACAGTAAGCTTACATTCAGCTCTTTTTTTATTTCTATTTCAGTTTCATTCTCCATGCTAAAAAAACAGCTTTTGTGGTAGAACATGATTTTATCATGGCTACATATCTTGCTGATCGTGTGATTGTTTTTGATGGCATTCCTTCCAAGAACACACTTGCGAACAGGTAAGACTCATTTGGATTAGTAAGCAAGATAAAGGAGGACACCGTAGAAATAAATTGTTTATCAGAAGCATCAACAAAAATAAGGAGGCGAAGCATGCCTGCCTATGGAAATTTAAGCTGCATTTAAAGTGATCCAAGAGTGTCCTGAGGGTTCTGGCTTTTGTTCTGAAGCGAGGAAAAGAAAATGGGATTGACCCACTCCTGGAGGCTGCCTATAGACACAGAGTTGGGGCAGAGTTGGAGAATGTAACCAAGCCCTCAAAAACATCAGCTCCTGGCTTAAACTAGCGTTAAGCAACTGCACACCAATTAAATTACAATCAGAGGAGAACAAATAAGTGGCATCGATTGTAAGGAATGAAAAAAAGGACCAACTGTAAACCATGCCTGGGAAAATAACTTTCAGATGTATGAAAAGCAAGCAGGGTACTAGGGGTACATCTGCATGCAAATCTTGTGAAGTGCAAGTCTTGACAGCAACATACAATGTACACTACCTATGAGTTTTACTCTTTCAAAGCTGCCCCTTCTGGTATGTCTACTTTTGTTCCTGTAAGTAATTTCATGTAAATTACAGAGACTTTTTGATGAGCAACCTTATTAGAAACCAGGCTTTTAGAACAGTGTAATTACCAAGTACTTAACGCGAGCCAGATGAAGTAAACACATTGGTCTAGCAGTGTGTTTACGACACACTGCTAGCCTGGTTTTGATGGTATTCCTTCTAAGAACACGGTTTGAATTAAAAAAAATCATGATCACATAACCATTTCTCAGCATCAGTATATGTTACGATATTTGTTATGTCTTGCTAATAGTGCAACTGTTTTTTTCTTTGAATTTAAATAACTAAAGTGTGCCAGCACGCACACAGGTGTGGATACAAAGTAAAAAGAATGTAAAGGCAGCAGTCTGGAGACTTGTAGTGCCATGCCGAGATACTGCTGAAAGATGAGAGTAGTAGTTACGACTTCTTCTCCGAGATGTGATTTGACTGAAAATGCAGCATATCCTGGTATGTCACATACAGCTCGGGCTTGTGTTGCCAGACCTCAGGATGGAGATCAAAGCTGCCTTGTAATCTACATAGTACAGAACTTCTGAAAATTTAGCTGCAATGTTCTTCTCTCTTAACAGTCCACAGACTCTTTTGGCTGGAATGAATAAGTTTTTATCTCAGCTTGAAATCACTTTTAGAAGAGACCCCAATAATTACAGACCAAGAATAAACAAACTCAATTCAATCAAGGTAAGAGAGAAGCACCTTTACAGTAAAGAAGCCATGACTGTTTAATGCGAAGCCAGGTTTTAAAGTGAGGAACAAAATGAACACTAGCCTGGTAGTTCTGCTGTGCTGGAGAACAGCACGTGAAATGAGCAGTGAGAGTAATCAGGAAAGTAATCAGAAAAGAGTTTAGATAAGGGGGTTTTATTTCAGCTATGTTCAAGTCTGCCAAAGGCTACTTCAAGTAACATTGACCTTTTTTCTCTTCCCAAGGATGTGGAACAAAAGAAGAGCGGAAACTACTTTTTCCTGGATGACTAAACATTGAATCTGAGCATCTTTGTAACTGGCATCTAGAAATGCATATTGGAATTAAACATTTGTGGATAAGAAGGCTCAATCAGGTTTTAGAACACTTAATCCTTTGGAGCTTAAAATCTCTTGCTGCGTGTAACATCTGAGACCAGTAGCAGTGTAAATCCTAGTCTGAGTAAAACTGCCACTTTCTATATTTTGGTGACACAGCCCTATTTTCAGTGTAATAATTTCAAAATAGACCACCTTGAAATTGTGCAAATGAGTCTCCTGATTTTTCAAAATTTAAGGGAGGTTTTCAATCCCAATATATCCTACTCACGTACCAAGTACTGACTGCACTTCCTCATTTTAAAAAGCTTTGAAGCTGTTTTCTGTATACGAGGGAAGCTTACCAACAGTGTCAAGCTACAGCCACGACTCCTATTTTAAAAAGGCTGAATCTCTCTGGATGAGGGTTTCGTAAATAAATATCCTCCTAACTTTCATCTCTTCTGTGACACAGTCCAATTCTTGAATTGCTAATTCAAAAGTGTGTATATTTATATCATGTCACACACACCTTTTCTCATACTTTAGAAAAGAACGCACAAAAGATGGAGTACAAGCAATATAAAGGAAGATACCGACACCTCTTTTATAGACATCTGTCCCTGTGCATCCTCTCAGACCTAGTTACAGGAGAATAATCAGTTAAATAAAGTCTTAAAGAAAATACTGAAATCCTTTCAATCTTCTGTAACTTAAACCTACATAATGAAGAAAGGTTAATGGCTGTTTTCTCCAACTCGCTCCTCCATCTGTAAGTGCGGGCACCTGCCATCTTTCCGTGGAAAGATTAAGTTTTTACAAGGGTAAGATGCAAGAATTATTTTTGCCAAAAGCAAAAGCTTTGATCCTTACTATAGACAAAAATGAAGGTAAACAAAAATAATAGCTTGTCAAAAATCAATTTCCATATCAAGTAAGGTCCTTCAGGGAGAGGGGGAAAAGTGCTTATATTTGAGGGTTCCTACTTACTTGTCTAAGTACATTTCCCAGACACATAAAAATAACTTTCAGCTATATATCTTAAAAGGAAGGTATTTTCCATGCAGCAGTGGTCTGTTCTGCCTTCACTGGCATGTGAAAAATGTTACGAGAGATAAAAGAAAACATGGTTTTCTTCTTTATTTACATTTTTGCCTCATAAGTTACAGGAAAAGGCAGTGGTTTGGTTTGGGGTTTTTTAAGCCATTATGTGTGTTAGTAACTTGGATATTTTATAACTTTGGCAGTATCAGGTGTTTTATACACTGTCTCTGTCTAACCGACAACAGAAATCCATCTGTATTTTGCCAGCAGAGGTACCTCCATGAAGAAGTACAGGTAACGAATACAGCCTTACACCACCACCGCCACTGCGTGTTTAGACAAAAACTTCCCAAGGCTAACTAAAACTTACAGTTAAGTCACACAGGTGAGTACGAATCCCTTTGGACTCGAGTTCTGCGTCTTCTCTTCATCAGTCCTAATTAGGGTGAGGTAAAGATGTGGTTTAGCAGATACCTGAAGCTGCCTATCTCAGTCCACTGCATGCTAAATATTACATATAGTCCCCTATAAGCAGTGGGATCCTGCAACCTAAAACATCTTGCCCCAGGTAAAGGGTTTGGCCAATCAATCTACAAGTCTCCTAGCAAAAAACAGAGGAAACCATACTTCCTTCACTGTTGGTAAAGTTGGAGAAAATACTACATCTGCACGTTTCAGTCCTTAACTGTCCTAGGGTAGCAAGGCAGGGCATAGGGCCAGCTTGAATACTTTAAGGCCATTTTTAAGAGTAAATTCTAAAAGCACAGCCCTACCAGTTGCGGCCATACCTATGTTTTCCATTGTTTCCCAAGAAGTTTCTGTAGAAAGTGTACTACCTTTGTTCTTGCAACAAAGCTCGTGATTAAATGCCTGCTGTAGTCCTGAATGATTATGTCAGTGACTGCTGGACACATCTGGGCTACAGCTGGAGTTACACTTTAGAACCTCCCAGGAGAGATGACAAGAAGCCCCTTCTAAGTCTTTGTAAGTAGCAGAGGTAAACAGAGGACCACAATGGTATCAACTGTTACTGCTTGCTTAGTTCTCAACCTGAAAAACCAAAGAAGATTGCCTCTTTCGAAATGCCGAATACGTTTCTGAATGGAAAAGTATTTAGCTTAAAAAACCCGCAGCACAAAGCCACTACCGTTTGGAATAAGAACTAGAAATCCCGTTTACGTCCCCTTTTAGTTTGCAGCTAATTGTTTATAGTTCTGCTGCTGTCTACAAGTGGCTCTATCAGAGCAAAACCGTACATTTAATGTCCCTGCAACAGTTTCAAATATGTACATACAATTTAGAAAGAAAGTGAAAAGACAAACGTTTATTTTAAGTAAGGTTTTATACATGGCATGCATCTGAAAAGAAATCCTTTATCACATAACTATCACTCAAGTTTCCTGATCAAGGGCGTACAATCTTGGACGTGAATGAAAGGGTACCATCACCTACGCTGGTATATACAGATATAAAAATATACACAACAGTTAATTTTACAGAGCAACAGAGCTGAGTGAATACTGTGCACACTGCACTCTCCGAGTTTGGACAGCTGAACGTCCAAACTGCAAAGGCAACAGGAACACTGCAGAGATCGTTATCAGAGTCAAGACGAAACGGCATCGCAACTCTGACACAGTGTAAAAATATAAGGCAGAAGCCACTTTCTTCTGAATTGTAGGGAAGAGCAGAGCACACCGAGACTCTCCATCTTGCTTTTAAAAGTAGTTCCAGCAAGGAGTTGTACATGCAAAACGTAAATTTGCATCAACAGTGCAACAACAAAAGAATACTGAACAGTAGCTCAATCATACAAACTTAAAAAACGGTAACGTGTACTTTATGCATCTCTCCTCACAAAATACCTAGGATTTGTCAGTGCATTAGTGTTAAAGTGGCATTAAAAAAACTTCTGCTATTATAACAGATGCAGAATTATTTTGGAAATGCATAGCATCTACATTTTTATTGTCTTTGTAATTATTCGGTTGGCATAGGCACCATTCTAGTCACACCAGCATTAAGAATTCTTGGTGGAAACAGCCATTCTTATCAATTCATACACAGCTATTCTTGACTGCTTGTCTTGATTTTGATTTCAACAAATAAATGCTTTTTAAAATTCAAAAATATACCCTATGAATATGAAAAGAACTATATACAACATACCTAAGACACAGGGTTAGCTGGCTGCCGTACGTGTAACACACTGAAGAGAAACATTCAAGTTTGACAGACTTTTTTTTTCTTTTTTTTTTTTTTTTTTTTTGAGATGAAAGGCCTTTGGGTTGGAAGCATATCAAAGACAACAGTGCAGTAGGCTGAGAATTCCTTTAGCTCAGATCAGAACTAAGGCATTGTATGATAAAATATACATTTATATTTGGTGCAATGTTACTGTCAATTTTAGAATCTAGATCACGTCAAATGCTATAATTTGTCACTCTAGTAAACGTACATATCCATCTTCTATCACAAACTCAAACCTGGGGGGGGGGGTGGGGGGATTATCAAACGCTAAACCTATACTGTTTTTTTTCTAATTTGACATTTGAGGAAAAAATGCTAAGCCAAACAAACTATAATCCCCAAAAAAACCTTATGGTAGGAGTTCACATCCTCTTAGTCTTTACTCGCCGAAAGTTAAACATAGCCTTGAACTTTACTAAAAAGAAAGGTTAAGATTTTAAACTGCTACTTCAAATTACTTTTTGCATTTTAAAATTTTCAATTATCCATTCATTCTATGCTTGATGCCCCCTCTGATTATCTCCCAGTGCTGCCCGTCTCCTGTCGTTCCTATATGGCCTCCCTCTAAAGTTTCGCTGATACTGGTAGCCGTCATCTCTGCTTCTGCTGGGTGGTCCTTTCCAGGCTTCCTCGTTTCTTTGGAACTGGTATCCTCCCCTGCTGGAGTAACCCCACTCAAGCCTGGGCCTTCTGCCTCCTCCGTAAGTCTGGCTGTAGAATTGCTTGGATCTACCGCTTCTCAGCATGTCGGAAACCTCACTCTCGTCTTCGGAGCTCTCTTCCCTCGTTCTCTGTGCCCTGCTTTCTGTCTGCAGATTACCAGCACCCTTGGAATCTCTACCTTTATCAGTCTTCTCCTTACGACTGGGAATGCTGTTTTTCAGTTCATTTTTCGGTGGTTCTGCCAACAGTGGCGGAGTGTTGGGCACTGCCGTCTGCCTCTCAGTCCCCTGTGTTTGCGGAGAACGACTTTGCTGCCCGGCTGGTTTTTGCTTAGCGGGAGAAGCCGAAGGGCAAGTTTGCTCCAACTGAGGTGGCCTAGCTGAAGTTTCTTTCGGGGCACTGCATTCACTGCTCGCACCAGCCACAGGGAATGGTACGGTGTTCAAGGCGCTGCTGCCGTTAGTCTTCTGAAGCTGTTCCGCAGAGTTTACTGCAGGAACTGGGGGGCTGCATTCCTTAGCCACATACACGTTCGCAGAGGTGCTAGCTGTTGCCTCTTTGTCCTCAGGCGACATGACAACGTTAGGCCTCGGTACTGAATTTTCCATGAAACCCTGAACTGGGTACCCATACCAAAAGTGAGGAAAGAAAGGAGGGGCTATTGGAAGAGCTCCTAGAAAGTGATTGTGTCCAAAGGGCGGCTGTGGGAACATATTTTTCCCTCTCAGGGACTCCTCATAGTTTGCATGAAGAGCTTGCACTGGATTCTCCGATTCTACACAGACCTGTCCTTGACTTTCTGACACCTGAGCTGTAGGTATAATCAGAGGCAGCGATGGAGATCTACCATCAACCTGCGGAATTTGACCGTTGGCTCTGGCCTCGCTCTGAACAGGAAAGTGCCTGTTTGTTCGTGCAGTTTCGTTTTCATTCTGAGTCGGCGGAGCCTCCTGGAACCAGGGGTTGTGCGGATACACAGGAAGGGACACGTTTGGGTACATTCTACAAGCAGCTAAATAGGCCTGGTGCAGGGGGTACAAGTAAGAATGGGGTGCCCACATGGGACAACTGTATGCCTGCAAGACAGGAGGGGGGAAAGTATTTGGTCTTTTGAATGTTCAGACAGACGTAACAGCACACAGGTCATTTAAAATTTTGAAACAGTTAGTTACAGGAAGTACAGGTTAATTTTATTTAAAGTGACTGCCCTCCGTTCCAAATATCCAGGACTCCCGGATGATGTTCTCATTTTTGGTTTTCCTTCCAAATGCAGTTGCAATGGGCAACAGTTATGACCAGTAAGAAAACTTGGTAACAATTTCTATGTAGTTAATTTAAACACATGATGCTATTAAGTCAAGCTTTAGCTATGCATTTTGAAGACACACATTTCAAATTCATTTTCCAGAATCACAATTATTAATTGGCAATTTGCCCTACTAGCTCACTTTTCAAAATTGTAAGGGATAACAGTCAAAACAACAAGAAGTCATACCACGCACATATTTTCACTTAATAATAAAAAAAAGAGAAGAAAAAAAAAGAAAAAGACTACACTGTTAGATCATTTCCCCAAGGACAATTTGTAAAGATTGAAATCCATATATATACACAAAACCCACAGATCAGCTTTCTTAGAAGCCCTTTCATGAAGTAGGGGGATAGGTTTCATTAGCATATACAACACTTCCCAGCTACCGGTGGGAGTCACACAACGGACATGCCATTTTCAGCGGCAACCTTTTCTGTGCTGTTCGTGAACACAAGCTATGTTCACAATACTGAGGTCATCCACCTCGGGTGGCGACCCCCTTCCCTCTCCTCTACTTCCACGTTAACTAACTAGCACACAGTGGCTTACGGTCACATTGCTCAGAGAGAGAGTTTATAAACGCAGACTTTGTGTTTGTACTATGGCACATAGCAACTGGCCCAAGAGCAACATTGTAGGATGTTTTTATAATACAGTGTGCCAAATGCACATATTTCAGGCCATACGGAACACCATGCAAGGCTGCTGGAGGCACAAGGCTGTCTAAGAAAACACTGGAGTAGGTAAAGGGCAGAGCCCAAAAGCTGGCACGGTCTTGTCTGTGCCATCTGTAGAAACAGCCCCCGGAGCAAACCATCCTGAGAAGCCTACCCAGACCTCCTCTCAACAGGAACCAGTCGGTTCACTCTGAACGAGCAGCTGGAAGGGGGTGGATAACAGCGTGGCAGGATCTGGGACCAAAGCAGTGGACAGGGTAATGCAGAAAGCAGTGCCCAGGTCTACCATACTACTTGGCCACCAGCTGAGGAGCACAACTACTAGAACATGGTACTTTGACCGGTAGATGGTGCTGAAGCACCAAAATGACAGACTATATCCTAAATAATACAAAGCACCAGTAAGGAGAGTCCCAAATACATGTAGGCTTATGAAACAAACGTTGTTTAAATATATTGCAGTGACACTTGCTAATGACATGGATTTTCTATTAAGCAAAGAGACTTGTCTTAGGCACACAGTTATGAAATCTAAATTTACTTTGTAAGTTGTGCTGAACATTCCCTCTTTCCATGCACAGACACCAAAGAAAATCATTACTTATGGCCAAAGTCATGTGGAATAAGCCCGAGAGCTCTTGGCACCTTTTCCAAAGTAGTTTGCCTGACAGAAGGAGTGAGAGAAGGTAAAAAAGGCACATTTTTATGTGCAGAAGGGAGAGGCTAAGGAAACAACTAGTCCTTACCAAGAAATGGAAAATGTTGCCTTTTTGGATGAGCCTCTTCCCCAACCACACACACAGATTTGCACCACATATACACATCAACTGCTATTACAGTTACTTAGAAGGTTAAAAGTAAAATACTGTTGTCCTTAACCTGAGCAGAACGGACAGACATGCAGGTTACTTAAGGGAGTGTCCTCAGGGAAAGACATACTAGGTATCTGTACTGCAATGGCTTTGCCAGTACAGAGACATGGTCAAAGTTGGAGGGCCTTTTCTCTTTTACTCTACACTGCTTCTGAAAGAATGCATCTTCAAACTCACGATGGTTTACCTGTGAATTTGTAAAGCACAATCTGTTGACTGTATAGCCACAGTTGGAAGCCAATAGTTCTCACTATCACTGTTGAGATAAAATTTATTTCTGTTGACTTGAACTGCAAACGTGGACCACTGTTGGGATCCCAGTTAATAGAAGACAAAATAAGAAAGTATTTCAAATTTAAGGATGAACTTGAAGTGTACAGCTGCAGCAACCAAACTTCTCCACTCCAAGTACTACCAAATACAAGCAAATTTTATGGTGTAACAAAAACACAAAAACGTAAGTAAGTTTGAAGAGTTACCTTCACACCAAGATTGAAGAAAAATCTAAGAATATTCTTATCTAGGAAAAAAAACAGAAAAAGATCTATGAAGACCTAAAATATTACACTTAATCTGATCCAAAAATTAGTCCCTGCATAAAGTTCCATTTCAGTAGAGAAACACTGGTGTTAAGTTGCAGCTTGCATGTCTTTGATTGGGGGCGGCGGGGGGGGTGGCTGCCACACTAAGGTATCTAGAACACAACTGCAGTTTAAATTTCAATTTTAACAGTTTGTGGAACTGAACTTCTGGTTTTTAAAGAAACAGTTCAGTAAAACACCACCGTGCAGTCAGACATGATATGTTCTTTATGGGCATATTCCATATTTGTAGTATGCCAAAACCTGTATTTTCCCAGACCAGTAAGGAAATGCTCAACAACTTCCAAGCTTTTGATTACAAGAGAAAACCTGTAACTGTAAAAGGAAGCAGTTCTCCAAAGAGAATCCTTTACATTCACAAAACCTCAAGTTATGGTGGGTCCAGCTAAGAACCACAAAATGATCATAGCAGATTTCCAGGTGCAACCACTTAAAATAATCGCACTGTTAGCAACGCAAACTAAAGAGCTGCAACTCTATTCAACAGTCCCTCCCACACCTTAAATCATGGAATGACAACAATTCAATCTTTTGACACAGACTAACAACAGGACCAAAGAAGTTGTCTTTATCTACATTTTAAGAAAAGAAAGCCTATTAGGAAAAATGGTATAAAACCCAGACCTCCTTCTAGCTTCTCACCTTTAGGTAAGTCTTCCCCAGTATTGCACAGGGAGTAAGAGGGTGCAACGGCTCTTTCTCCCTTTTCACTAAAAGGGAATCCAGGGTATAGCGGATCCTGATAAGGATTCAGAGTCTGAGGCAAAGGCATTAAAGGCTGGTTAACTGCTTGTAGCGACACAGGAACTCCAGCAACTGGAGCAGATGTTACCTGAGCCTGTGATACAATAGAGTCAGGTCCCGTTGCTGGGGCTGGCATCAATGAAGAAGCAGGTATTTGGGCTGGAATACCTAAGGGAAAAAACCATACATACATGCATACATATATATAGCGCTCAACTATATACAATCACAAAAGAAAATGACAACAAGAAAGCAAGTTTCACAAGACAGGAGAAAAAAAAAAAGAAAAAAGGTATTCGGGAAGACATAAGAGGACATTCGTGAGTCGCGAAGTTACAAACAAAAGATTTGGCTAAATGCAGAGAATAGTTTTCAGAAAGAGTGAAACAGTTAAGCTTTCCAGAAATAGCTAAACCCTTCCCATATTTATTTTTAAAATTATGAATACCAGAAGGAAATAGGAAAGGAAAAAAAGGGGGCAACTGAAACTTATATGTGAATCTCTGCAGTTCGCATTCTGATTAGTCATTTACAGTCAACTCTGAATCTGAGCTCAGATTAACTGGGCTATGCATCTCCTGTCACAGATGTGGTCAAGTATGACAGGATTATTACCACATCATGTGAACACAGTATGCTGATTTGAAAGCTAGTTCTTGTACAGAAACACAACAGTGGGAGAGAAAGTACAGCACCTGAGCTAACGAGCAATATTGAATCTAAGCTAATTCCATGTATCAGAAGATATGCACAGCACAGAAAAACCATTACACCAGCTTTGCAGTTCAGGCCCAAATGGCTCTCATTAGTTCCAGACATACCAGACCCAAGCTGAGGCCTTAGCGAATCAAGGGGCTTATTACATGGGGGACAGAGCACAGACACATATCAAGCTTCAACATGCTGACAACGTGTTCTACCTTAAGCAGATCCTCAGAATAAGCCCCCTCAAAGCTCAATGCTATCCCACTCAGGAGAAAAACAGAGAATTGAGTACATATCCCTCTTCCACCTTCAGGCAGGGAGTAAAGCAAGCTATACATATAGGCAATCAAAGACCTACTAGAACTCTCATTAGCTTTCAGCAGTAAGAAACTATATTCCTATGAATGACTGCCTTTGGAACGTGAAGTTATATGAAACAGTGTTTCCTGGAAGCATCTTCAATTTAGCAAGACAGTTAAAGTATTTTTCAGGGTTAGTAGTTTCTGATTTATGTTAATATTTCTTCAAACCTGCTGGTCCATAGGTTGTTGGCTCACTTGGCCAAGCTGGCACAATGGCTGGTACAGAAGGCACTGCTGGAGGTAAATGCACCTCAGAAAAGACTGGTGAGGGTGTTGGAGTTATGCTTGGTAAGCATTCTGTCAGGTTCTATAAAAACAAAGAGATCACATGAAACTATTCGAAGTCACCATTGTTGGTGACCCCTAATGTGTCTGACTTCTACCAAAAAAGGTTTGATGACTCAGTATTATCCAGACTACCACCATCACCATAGCAAAACATTAACTTGTAACATACCAGGCTGTATACATAAAAGAGATCTGAGATACATTACATCACTGTGTGAAGAACTCTGCACTGAGCTCTATCCAGAACATGCCTGTACCACAGACAGCCATCAGTGTTATAACCACCTCCACGAGCATTAAATTTAAGTATCTCCCATCCAAAAGAAAAGCCACCCTCATAAACGATTACCAATAACCTTGGAGAAACCTGAAAAAGCAAAGGTAAAGAATTTAAAGTGAAAAGCATGGTTATCTTAGTAGAAAGATAAGAAATAACCCCTCTCTCAGAAGAGAAAGGATATACTTTTACTTTTCTATCAAGGGTTGTCCTTTTACAATCTATGTTGGACATAACAGATTCCTAACTATAAATACGAAATTTTAGCATCATCGCCATACAAATGACTATGTAATTAGAAGCCAGTATTATAGTACATACGTGGCTGTGACGAAGCTCCCCTTTGTCTGAAGTCTCCTGACTGGAAAACTTTGAAATCAAACAAACATTTCTTACTTGCTCAGCAAGAACCGGAGAATCTGTTTTTAGTTGTTCCAAAGGAGATGAAGCTTTTGGATAACTCTCCTCTTGACTATTCTTCTAAAGCAAAGTTAGAAACAACAGACACAGCTAGTCTAATATTAAGATTTACTTTTCAAAGAGGCATTCAAAGATATTAAACCACACTACATACAAAGTGGGCTAAGCACCCAATCACTATTATACTAGTGTAACATTTTGCTCATTGAAAGGACAGCAAAGGTTAAAAGCCAACAAGAGGCCACAAATCTTCACTGAACTTCAGAGATCATGGTCTGTTAGCACAGTAGCTATTAGTAAACATCAAATCTTCTGTGGTCCCATTATACTGAAAGTACGGACTACTAAGCAATTACAAATCCAGATTCGTAAGTGCTCTCGATAGCCCAGATTTGAGAACTCAGATTGCAGAGAAAGACTGTAAGTATGGGTTACGGAGGCTGAGGAAAGCTGACAGCAATACAAGCCTCCAACCTTAGAAGTATTTCACTAAAAGCTGTAAAGCAGCAGCAGCAATCACAGCTCTAAAGGCAGCTATTGCTCTGCTAATCATGTATCAGAGAAGCAATAACATTAAAAAAAAATTTGGTCTTTTCTTTAAGATTACCTCAGATGAATTTGGCTCAAGCTTCTGACTTAAGTGGATCTGCCTGGAATTTGACTCTGTAACACCAAGACATAACCTAGTAAATGAACCATTACACCATTTATGGCTATCACAACTTAAGCCACTTAAAAGTTTGTCTTTCCAAAGTTAAACCTTCAAAACAAAACCTTCCTCAGCACATATTACTTCAGAAAACTTAAACTTCAATTTTATCAAAGATCAAAGCATCCTAAAATAAACAGTTGTTAGGGCAGTAACAGAGCAGCTACTTCAACCTGGGTTTTCAAAGCTCTACAGGAGTTCTTTACTGATGTTTGTTAACCATTTCGGTGATGCTTCAGGGAAGCAGGAAAGAAATGTGGCTGTCGCTTTAAACACATATCATTCATCCTAAATCCCTCCTAGTGACAAAGAAATAAGTTTGTACTTTAAGTGAAAATGTTTTGATCCGCATTTCCATATTCAAGTGTTAAGATAACAGAAGCTTAAAAGTCTTGTCTACTTTTGACTGAGTAAAAGATAGATCAGTTTAGAAGGTTTCAATGGTTCAAAAGATCTAGAAAGTTTTCAGACTGATGCAGAAAGTTTAATTTCTCGAGCACCAGAAAACACGTGGTGGGGGAGACGGTGTTGAAAAACAGTCATGGCATAATCTTCATATAGTAAGATCTGTACACGTTCTTCACATTCTAGCTTATGTTCAAATCTGGTTACCACTGCTTGTCAATCAAATTCATGTACATAAGTTTAATAGTAGCCGCTAAATAGGTATGTCCTTTTTAAAAGCTTAGTATATGGACCATCACAACTGGACAACAATGTAAATTTAAACAATATTGATTACGAGAATTACTGCCGATTCCCCTAGCACCAACAGGAATCTCTAAATACTCAGAAGGAAGTACAGTTTATTCCCATAGGATTTTTAACCTAGTTTCAAAAGAGGCAATGCAATCCAGAGCATCACAAAAAACAGAGAAAGTTGTACATGCCATGCACTTGAGCAAAATCTATCATGACACTGTAGCAAAGAGCTTTCTCTACATGATCATTCTTTTTGGCATTGCTGAGGAAACAAGTTTTCAAATGAAACAAGTTTTCAGATGTTTGGAGAATGAAAAATAGTCATCAGTCCTTGTGAGACCATTCAAGAAGGCATTACATGTTTTAAGAGGGACTAAGGAGCACAAGTACCATAAATACACAACAGCAATGCCTCTGCTGTTGCCAGAGATAAGGGAATAAAAAAAATTCAAAAAACAGAGGGAAGGAACAGCTTCTAAGAGGAGGCTAAAGAGTTTGAGTTTTATTTAGTCGGGAGGGGGAAGGTGCGAGAAGCCAAGATCAAATTCGGTGTTTAGTTATGGCAAAGCTGACAGGACAAAAAATAATCAAAAAAAAAAAGGTACTATCAGGTGCATTTAGCAAAGATTTACTAACTACCTCCTGACAGCTACAGGTTTCATCTATTACTGCTGCGTTCCACTTCCTCACAGAAAAGGAAAAGCTTAGAGTCAATGAAGAGAAGCTAAAAAGTGTTATAACAGATTGAGGGAAGGGAGGAAACCCAAACAAATTTTGACCATGAGACAGCTCTTTCTACTGTGAACAGGGGTTTTTTTTCCAACTCTTCTGTACACCATCTTCTCCCCTCTTTCTCCACCATTGTATGCTAATCCTTAACCATGCCACATTGAATACTTTTACCTGCTTTTCTCTTAACCGACTCCAGGAAGCACTCTTAATACTCCTCCCACTGGCACTTTCTGCCACACTCACTAGAATTTCAATAGGATCGAATTTAGGGTAGCTCTGATAGTCTTTTCTTTTCTCATTCCTCTTCCCGTTTACTACAAAAATCCCAGCAAGGAGCCTGCTCTCTCAGCCGCATTCACAAAGCAGGAAGACGTACTTTCTTCCCAAACCACACCTTTGGTACCTTGAGCCTAGCTTAGTTTGGCACTATTACTTATGATAATTTTCCCCTCATTGCCTAAAAAGATGCCCCATCTTGAATGAATTCTGAGGCTGGTTATAAAAACAAGCAAACAAAAAAAGCCTTAATTTAAAAACATTTATTTTTACCTTTATCCTTCTGCTCTTCCACCTCTGCTGTCCACTTGCTGTTTCTTCTCTCATTATTTGAGAACTTTTTCTGATTTAAATTATCCACAGTCTGTGTAGCAGCCTGACAGACTGACTGATTCTGAAGTTTACAAAAGCAGAAATATGAGTTTATATAAGAAGTCCAATAACACTTTGCCATCATCTGATATGATACTACTATGCCTTCACAACACAATACTTATCTCTGTGATAGGCAGAAAGATGGGGAGAAAAAAAGCAGTCTTGATCAGTATCGTTCAGATTCATCCACTCTTTCATTCATTGTTAAATTTTGCAAAGTGTCCTTTAAAAGCATTCATGTAATTAGTTTACATGACAAACAAGAACTGCTTCATTCAGACAATATCCACTTTAAAAATCACATCCTCCTTCTGCAGGGGAGCAAATACAGCACACTGTTAACCATAGCTCAGAGAGAGCGCGCAACCTCTGTCCGTTAGGCTTCAGTCTTAGTCTGCTCTTTGCAGCGCAGAAGAGCTGTACATTTCTTCTTGATTGCACCAATATAAGTAATTACTGCTTAAGAACTGAAAGATACAGCGCAGGAAGTCACTTCCACAAAGCAAGAGATTTAAGGCCCATCTTTCACCTACTCATTCTTCCCAGCCTGGTTCTTGTTTCTATTTGCCCTAGAATTTAAATCCAAAAAGCCCCACACGTCTCTAGAATAAACCTACGTAGACAGCAGCTCTATACCCACAGGATCTGCTCACTCCCTGGATATACTGAGACTCAATCCACTTTCTTTAAAAATTGCATCAATGGAATAAGCTCTCAAAATCTAAAGGCTACATTCTTCCCTTAGACATAGACAAGTCCACTGAAGCCAGCTCAGCTCCACAACAGAGAAAGAGCAAGCCTGACAAAGAATTTGCATTACTTATGATACCAGGCAAGTTCTCACACCAGTAAGTTCTCAGGCTAAAAAGAAAAGTCACTGATAAATAGAATAGGTTTTATGTGAACCGAATCAGAAACAATCACCTAGTCACTTCATATACTAATTCAAGCTCCGCAGTGCCATTTTACTGAGCTATTTCTCAGCTAAATTCAACTGTACTTCAGAGCAAGTTTTGTCCTCACCTTGAAGTTTGATCCCACCATACAAGAAAAAGACAACATCTGAGTAACTGTAAGGGAGTGCAAAGCCTTCCAAAGACAGGAGAAACATGAAGAAGCCCACAGCTTCAGAAGCTCACGTGTCTACTATATTTACATGCCTGAAGAACTGTATATAGTGGACATTAATTATTCCCAAGGGAATAATTAATACGTATGTGTCTTATCTTGAATAATAAAGCATTGTAGATTCACATATTTCTATGTAGAAAGTGAGTACGAAGAAAGTATCCTTAAGTTTTGAATTCTATTGTAATACAAGGACAGCAAAACAACAATTAAAGGTTCATGGACAAGTATGAAAAATGCACTATTAATTACAATGAAAAAAACATACATTGGGAAGAAGTATCAAAAATGCACTATTAATTACAATTAAAAAAACATACATTGGGAAGAGCTGGAAAAGCTTGTTCATCCCTCTGCTGGATCTCATAAAGCGAACGAGATTCTTCTATAGCCTGTTTCTCCCTGCGTTCCTCTGGAGACAGGCCAAAGTAGTTACAATCTCTGCTGCCATGATTCAGATCCTCGGTTCTGTCCCGGTCTGGTTTTCTGTAAAGGAAAAAAATGAAACGGGATCACTTTGACAAAGAAATTCACCAGTATCAAACACAATATAAACTCATGGTTTAGAAGGAAGAAAGAAGATATTTATATAGCACTGCTTATGTGATTCCACATATACCAGATTTCTTTCTGCCTATTGCAAGCTACCCATACGCATAAAATTTAAGGAAGGGAAAGAATGGATTTTGTCCATGATTTATTCAGTTCAATACAATTTTGTAAGACTTTATAACAAATGGTAATTATTAGATCACAGTTAAAAAACAAATGCCTACATCAAGTAATCTAATCCATTTCTGTGCCAACTGAGAACTGACCACCCCCCATCTGCTATCTATGAACACGCAAGAGGAAGTTGGGGAAGAAGATTTCTGTAAATAAAACAACAAAAGGGAAAATGCATTATATTTTTCAGTGTCTGAAGCATCACTACACAAAATTAACATCACTGTTTCAGCTTTCTGAATAACTTAACTAAACATTTTAGGATAGTCATGTATTTAGGTTAAAGGTGGAAGAAAAATGCCCTTAAGATGTTGCATGTGGCAGACTCCAAAGACACCCCAGCCCCATTTATTCCACAAGGAGTTAGGATACAGAAGAGTGACAGAATAGACCATGAAGAGTTTGGGTTTGTAGCCAATTACAGAATAGTCTTTTAGACAGGATAGAAGACGACTAGCAATGATGAAAACAGAAACTGCTGCAGCAGCACAATGATTCAAAAAATCACTATCAACAAATGCAGGCAAAATGCTGTTCTCGTACTCCTTCAAGTAATCAGTCATAACATGAAGCAATCCTCTATGACAGGTTCTGCAGAAGCTGAGGGAACATCTTAGCCATGCCCAAGAAGCGCTACATGCAATACTACTTCAGCCCCAACCAGGAAAACAAAACCAACATCCACTTTCCAAGGAGAAACTGCAGTTTTGTGTACGGTGCTTCCAGGGGAGATGCTGCCATGCAAGAAAAAAAATGGGAGCTCATGATGGCAGCAATTTTGAAAAAGGTTTAAAAATAAATAAAAAAAAGAATTATTTTTCCTGTGCTTGTGTGTATTCTTAAGGACTTGGAACACTTCTTAAGAATTCAATGGCAACGTATTTCAAAAGAGCATGTTGGAAGCATCTGAAGCAGGCACCTGGGCTCCAAGAAGCTCAGCTAGAGTTCAAGATAAGGAAGACGTTATTTGCAGTTTTACCTTACAGTTTGGGAAGGATTCCTGCCTGGAGCTTTTTGCTCAGTTGAGGTCTGATGAGGTTGGGGCCCAGAACATAAGAACTGATGCTGCCTGGTTCCCACAGTATGCTGAAGTCGAGGAGGTAGTGCTGACTGGGGTTTTATTGACTTGCTCTGATTCTTTGGCCCTCTGCAATCTGCATCTGTGATAAAGATGTGGAAACAGGTTTTGGGTTTTTTTAATCATTTTTTTAAGCTCATTGGGACAAAACAGCTGACAATAAAGATTCTGCCACACAAAGACAAGTACAATCCTACCGGGCTGAGCATTCTGCCCCCATGTTGGGAAAAACTTTTTTATCTTCTTCCCTGGCACAGTGTTCCAGCCCTCCATAGGAGAGGCCTGTGGAAGAGGTTTAAGGCTCTTCAGTGAGACAGCATGCCTACAAAACAAGGAATTATGGAGGGAAAAATATCTTAAAGACCAGACTGGGGCTTGCATAAATTAATACCACATGTTTACTAAGACTGATGGATCTTTCCGTTTTTGAGAGCATTACATTCAAAATCCTTTGTTCTTTATGATTACATTCAAGCAATGTGTGGAAGAACAAACTGTCTTTTTTTTTTTTTTTTTAAGAAAAACTCTCTGATAAGTTGATGCAAACTTATCCAGTAAAGAATGATCAGCCATTTGCGAAGCGAGTATTATAATGTCTTCAGGGCAGACAGAAAAGGAGGATGATCAGAAAAAGCAATATACTCAGATAAACTTATCACAAACACTGCAATAGATGTCAAGATTGAAAAACACTGTATTGGTGTTTTATATCCCAGAGCAATTACTGCTTTTTTAATTGAGGATGCTGTAAGGATGTCCAAGCAACTGTTACATTATTTGAAAGAAAGACATTCAAATCTATAATATACAGTTCAAATCAGGTTAAATCTCAATTTGAAAAGGGAACAAACTGCAAGACAATCTTCAGATCTTGCAACATTTTCTTTTTTTAACAGAAGATTGCATGAGATTAACGGGCACCTTTCTTGTTCCCTCATTTACCTTGACTGAAAGTGTTTCCTCTTCCCAAACTACACTCAACTGTGGGGTTTTTTTGCCCCAGAAGAGTTACAGAAATTACAGCAGAGCCCAAGATGTCTCAAACCCCTCCACCCCAAAAGAACAACAAAAAAACCCCACCCGCCCAAACAACCAAAACCACCACCCACCACTACCAGCCCAGAAAAAAACCAACAAAAACAACCAACGAACAACACAAAAAAAAAACCCCGCAACCAACAACTTTAAACCCTGAGTTTGTCCCAAGGTAGGGTAAAGACGACACTAATCTAAACAGCAGCTTGGTGCACGCTGTATGAAATCAGGCAGAGCTACTCAACCAACAGAGAAGCTAGGTGCTTTGATGGACTTTTTAATATGAAAAGCTTGTCACAAACCTAGCATCTAACCATTAAGCACAACAAGCAACACTTAATTAGGATTATGTCAATCTGTTTAGGATTGAATCTTGTACAAAAAAAAAAATTCTAATACTAATGTAGTTACTGTTTTACTGTGCAAGTAATATCCAGACTACTTAGCACTAAAGAAAAAAAGTCTGAAGTGACAATCAATGCAGAACCTGTTTTTATTTAGTATGTTGTTTTCTTAACAATTTTGTGGTAGTACTGCTTCAAGTAAAGAAGCAGATACACTTCAGGGCCTGAAATTAACTCTGAACTAAAGTAATGATACCATTACCAAGGTTCAGTTTGGCACTCTTTTCCGAAAGAGATTAAGCACTTACTTTGCTCCAAGCTCTTCTACAAATACAACAACTGGCCCATTCTCTGAACAAACTTCTTGAATATGAGCATTGTAAAATTTCCCATTATGGTCTAAGCGCACCTGTAAGGAAAAAGAGTAAGGAAAAAAAAAAGTGCATTAGCTTCAAAGATGACAATGAGAAGACGTAACTCTTAAAATATCAGCAATGTTAAAAATACAACTTTTCCTCTGGGCAACAGACGACCTGAGAAATAAACATCATGTAATTCAGTAAATGTATCAAAAGCAAATCTTCAATCCGTATCGCTTCTTCAAAAAGAAATAAAAATACTATTAAAAAACCCAAAACCAAAAAAACCCTTGCCAGGTAACACTACTTAATGAAACATGACTTTCAAAACTGCATGAGAAAGTTAAAAGTAATCAGTGTGTCAAGGCTTTTCAGCTTTACTGAAAACACTATCTTAGAATAAAACCCAAAGCTTTTACTTGTTAAAATCCATGCAAAGAAAAGAAAAATTCATTACCAGCTTCAGTGGAATTTAGTTTAAGAACATAATGAACACCAATTATTTCTGAAGTTATTCTTCAGAAAGTTTTTTAAAACAACCAAAAAAAGTTGTTCAGACATGATCACAGTGTTACTTGTCTGACTAACATTCCATGTTCTTAAAATTCTTCTGTTATATACAAAATACATTTCATAATGTTCTGCTACGACATTTGGCTTTCCAGTTGTATTAATTTGGTCAGCTCCACTTTTCACTATTTACTTCATCTTCCCCTCCCATGTTTTTATCCCATATATTTATGTCTTGCCATGTACATATAAAATTTGACAGTGTATGTTAATTACCAGAGTTTTTTCTACTAATATCCGTACCCTTCAGTAAATACTACACAAGACAGCCTTAGGGTCTTAAATACAAATTTTAAGCCTGTACTATTAAGCAATAAATAATCAACTCCACATTAGGTTTTTTTGTTTGTGTGGGGTTTGGGGGGTTTGTGGTTTTGGGGGGTTTTTTTGGGTTGGGTGGGTTTTTTGTGGGTTTTTTTTTTTTTTAAGTTTACAGATGTGTTTTTCCTGCAATTTATTCACTATGCTTAATTCCATTACACAAATAGAAAAAGTACAAACTGAAAGAGCTCCCATGCTGCATGATAAACCTAATTGAATATTTTCACATTAATATTAATAATTTTAATAGATGGTCAAATGTCCTAGAAAAAAAACATATTTAGCCAAGTACCAGAAGTTTAGTTAACACACCTAAGGAGATTAATCTAAAATTTGAGTACTATAGAATTTAACGGCAAATCTTGTTTCTTCTTAAGCAGCAATACGTACCACAAATTTTAATAGAATTTAAAGAGCAACTGTGTAACACACTTTGAATACTTCAAGAGGAAGAATTGCCCAAAACTTCAGGATCTGCAGTAACTAAAGCGAGCTGTATTCCATTACTTGAAAGTAGTGAGATTAGAACAAAGCCAATTTATAAACAGAAATCATTATCTCCAGAGTTGAACATAAATACATGGAACTATGATGTTGGTTTTGGTCTCTCCAAAGAAAAGCCTATATGACAGAAAACACTAAAATTTCATTCTTCACTATGAAACTGTATGCACGCAAACACTTCATCATGCAGCAGTATGATAAAAGCAGGTGCAGCCATCAGCAAAAGATGCAGCGGAGATAAGGATCAGTTTTATAAAACAGACCTATCCCACACTTTTGCACATCATGGGATTAACTAGCGCGCTTACGGAGCCCACCAAGAGAAGAACGGAGCCTAGCCTGAACCAAGTAAACCGCCTTAAATGCACCTACTTCTCACAGAGAGGCTAGCACTCTACACCACCAAGCAAGGACTCACCATGGAGGCAAGCCTGCACAAACTTATTGGCATACTTAACGTTAAGGTCCACAGTCACCTTATTAAATATACTCTTGAAGTTAACCTTGTGACTTTCTAATGCAGTAAAATTGCACTGATTAGATGTTCTATTACATGCCTTTTCTACATGTATGCTCTATGTCATGAACACCGCCAACAATTAAATAATGAGCATATGCACAGTTGGAAGACACAAACGAAGAATATTTAGAAAGTAGCAATCATATATCAAAATAGTTAACACAGAGGGAAAACTAGGATCTTGAGCAAGATGTTAATGTCTCTGTAAACTATAATTCAATACTACTTACTTTACATTTATCTCCAATTGAGTATTGCATGCCAGCAGCAATAGAAAAATCTTGGTTTTGCTGATCTGTAAATACATTCGCAGCAATATACTGTTAGTTTAAATACACCGAAAGAGTTACTTTCTTGATGCAGTAAAAATGCAAACCAGAAGTTCAGGCCCTAAATCTGCACACTGACCCATGTGAGGAAGACCATTGCCTAAATCCAAACTGCCATTTGCATCACTGTTCTTCAAGAGGGCTTCACTTTAGGTATCAGCTTGCAAAAGTTGAAACTTTGAAATAGTCAGTTACTTACCCCATTTGGATTGGAGCCAAACATCATATTCAACATTTCTGTAAACTGATGGATTGAGTGATTTAAGAACTTTTTTAGGTAAGACCAACAAGGTAGGATTCCCATTGCTTTTAAGGTGCTGTATGAAACAAAACAAAGTGCTAAATGGTCAACTACATAAAGATGTACAGTTTTCCATTTTTCAATCACAGTGCTCAAGCTTTAAACTGAAACATAAAGCAGCTGGAAATACATAAAGCATAAAGAGCTTTGAAAAAAATAATTCAGTGGTGTTCTTTTAACCATACCAGAACAAAATGAAGAACTGAGCAGCATTAAAAAGGACACTATCCACTTTTTGGCACATCAAAAGCAAACATTACTTTTCAAAGAAATAAGTAGTTTTTAAGTTATTACACGTTAGGAAAACTAGAAACTCAAGATTGAACATTAAATATTAAACATCATGAACATTAAACACTGAAAAAAATATAGCAGAGTACAAGTTACTAGGAAGAAAATAAATCTTAACATATAAATACCTTGTTGCCAGAAAGAGACTTCAATCCATTCATATCACTAACTGTTGTAGCTTTACTTCTGCAAAAGGATAGAAGAAAGCTGTGGCAATATAGTATTAATAAGGCCTGGAAATCAGGTAAGAAACATCTTGGAAGTGGATAAAAATACTGAAACTACCACTTTCTATGTATTTTTCCACAATAAGCATACCACAGAACATCTTCATCTCTTAAAATGAAAAAGTTACGTCTAAAACAAGAACAACATTTCTATATCATATAAAGCTAAAAATAATATTTTTGTTTCTAAGTACAAGTTTTAGGAAGTCTTACTTATGTGTACTGACTTAGCCATCACTTAAGAAAAGAAAAAGGGGGGGCTGGCAAGGGAAACAAAAAATTCCTCTGAAATTTTTGCAACTACAGAAGGAAAACATAGCAAAAGCAGACATAAAAAACAACAGAACTCAAAACCAAAACCCACTCCATTAGTTAACTGGCATCAGGCACTCTAATTTACTATTTTCTACACCTGACATCACTGGAAAATTACTTTCCACAGAGAAAATACACATATTTTTCCCT